AAAGTCCCCCCCTCTGGAGTTATTATGAAGATTCGATATATTAATATTCATAACATATTTATTTTTTTTTAACGTTTATTTATTTTTGAGACAGAGAGAGACACAGCATGAACGGTGGAGGGGCAGAGCGAGAGGGAAACACAGAATCAGAAGCAGGCTCCAGGCTCTGAGCCATCAGCCCAGAGCCCGATGCGGGGCTCGAACTCGCGGACCGCAAGATCGTGACCTGAGCCGAAGTTGGATGCTTAACCGACTGAGCCACCCAGGCGCCCCATTCATAACATATTTAAACAGTGACTGGCAACTGTGCTACAACAACGTTTGTTACATACACACATAGACCTGCATTAATTCTCTGTGCATTTACCAGTGTGTGACTGCATGTTACCCAGCTTCTCAGAGCTTCCTTTTTCTAAATGAGTAAAAAGACGAGCCGCTGTCTTCGGGTGATAGCACATACACACTTACTAGCGCAGGTCCTGACATGTAGACACTCAACGCTGTGTGCACAAATGGATAAATTGCAATTAGAGAATGAAGTTTCCCTTTTTGTCTTGAAATTTTCACTTTGAACTTGAGTGTATTTAATTTTGAACTTCTTCATAGAGCTATTAGATTCATCTATTTTCCTCTCTTAAGAAAGCATCAGTTACCTAACGCTCGAATGTAATTACATGGAAATGACAGTTGTGCCACAATGAAACGGAATAATTTAGATGAACATTTGGTAACGTGCTCTCCATAATTCTTAAGAAATCTGTTGCTGAGAAAACACTATTGCAAAGCGGAAGTCTAAGGGGAGCTGTGTAATTAGCAACTATTTCAATGGATTACTTTTCTAAAAAACTTTCTGTAATGGAGAAAACCATTAGGCTATTGAAATTATTCTGTGTGTATTGAAAATAAGGACCAGAAAAGCAGAATAGCCTGCCTCTTTCCGACTTGTTGAGTAAAGCAGGGGCTCACTCAATGTCAGGGTTCTACCTGACTTTCAATGAGGTTTATATAACGGAGTTCCACTTCAAAGATTCTCTTCAACTGCTGACTTGAGTTAGGAAGAAACGATGATAATTGTGTGATTTTGCAGGCAGATTCACATTAATAAATTAAATTTTCTCCACTTGGCTGGAGTTGGTGAGTCTCAGAAAGCAGACCTCCTTTTCTTATCGGGGAAATGGATTCTTGTCCCAAACAGACTATGAAGGTTTTTAGAGATTTTTTTCTAATTTACACTTTAAACTTTTTCTATTTTAAAACCATTCCTATAAAAAGTCAAACAATAAAGATGTATTTAAAGAAAATACATCTTTCATCCTCCACTTCCCCCTCCAGTCTGAACTGTCTGAGGTAACCAATGTCATCAAATGCCAGAATATTTCCTTTGTTAATGAAAATGGAATTATATTATATATATTCCTCTGCCCTTTTCTTGGATGTTATTGGTATGTAATAGACATCCTTCCTCCAGGGAAGTACAGGCATAATATTTAAAGTAAGCACGCACCAGAATTCATTCACCAGGCCATTTGTTTTCAGATATTTATTTATTTATTATTTAATTTATTTATTTAGAGACTGAGTGGGGGAGGAGCAGAGAGAGAGGGAGAGAGAGAAGCCCAAGTAGGCTCTGTGCTGTCAGTGCAGAATGTGACATAGGGCTCCATTTCACCAACCATGAGATCATGACCTGAGCTGAAATCAAGAGTCAAACACTCAACTGAGTGAGCCACCCAGGTGCATCCAGATTTTATTTCATTTTATTTTTGTTACCACGAAGAATGTGTCAAAAAATATGCACATGTTTTTGTGACAAAACACAAAATGAGATTTCTCAAATGGGCAGTTATTTTAGGGTAATTTCAAGGTGCTACCACATCCTTACAACATAGTAAAAGAAAATAATGACCTTTGTTGGCAGGAGAATTTGAAAATAAGGATAAAAGAATATAAAGAATAAATTTAAAAAATTTAAGCCACAAGGGATCCCATTCAGTTTTGCAGTGTGGTACTTGTAATACTCAACCTTCATAAATCATTTCTAAATCTTTGAAGAGGGCCATGAAGTCCCTCCATATTCACATGAAGGCCTTGGGTAGTTTGTCGAAGTGTGGTTCCTCGAACATGTTCACAGCAAAGATTCCATTGCCCACCACCCAGAGATTTTTATTTAGTGGGTTTGGAGTTTACTTCTCAACAAAAAAATCTCCCAGTGGAATTCCTAGGTGAAAGCACTGGGGTTTGTAAGCTTTGGACTAGACCAAGGGTCAGCCAAGTTCAGCAGTCCACCTGTTTTTTATGGCCTGTGAGCTAAGAATGGTTTTCACATTTTTAAATGGTTGAAAAAAAATCAAAAGAAGTATAATATTTCATGATATGTAAAAATTATATACAATTCAAATTTGTCCACCAAAAGTCTTATTGGAATGTAGCCACGCCCATTCATTCCATATCATCTATAGCTGCTTTTGTGCTGCAACAGCCGGGTCAAGTAGCTGCCACAGAAGCCATATGGCCACAAAGCCAAAATATTTTCAATCTGTCCCCTTCCAGAAAAAGTTTGCCAACTCCTGGACTAGATGATCTCTAAGGTCCCTGTCATTTCTGAATGTATTTTATTCACCGTTGTTATTTACCTCCTTTAATATGCAACACCCTGGAGCTGGTGCTGCCACATGGAGGCACAAAGTGTGGGGGAGGGCCAGACACCGTGATGAGTTTCTTTTTATCGGTCACTTAGAAATTAGGAGGTTATGTGACCAATGTAAAATATATTCTACATGAGCACAGTCAGAAAATGAGTAACAACTACAATAGCTAACACTCTGGTGGCACGTTCTATATATCAAGACCTGTTTTCAGTGTTTCCCACGCGTCGACCCATGGAAGCCTTACAACAACTCTGTGTGCAGGACCTATATTTACCCTCCTTTTACAGTTGAGGAAACTGAGGCATAGTTAAGTGCTTGCCTGAGGACACATAATTATAAACAGCAGAGTGGGGATATAAACTGATGCAGTCCAGCTGCAGAGTCTGGGCTTAAAAACACTAAGCCATTTCTGCAAGAGATAAAGGTAAAAAATAGTATGTTTGGACTCCAATCTTAATTACAACTTCAAAATCAGGGGAATGCCCACTACCTTCAGATGAATATTATGGCACCTTTCTACCAGGGTCATGAGGTCAAATATCCTCAGGGCCAATTAAAAACATCAATGCAAGGAGAACACTGGCTTCTCAAACACAGTTCCTTTTTCTACTTTGAATAACACCGTGGAAACAGAGCCATTTTCTCATAGGAACATTGTGTAAACTGTGATGGTAACTGGTAGCCACAGGGCAAGAACACCATCATGTGTGGTGGGGACTGGGTTCAGCCAATGCCCCATTGAAATTAGAACAAATAAACAAACACACTGTCTGGGCCAAACAAAATAAAACTTCAAGCCATAAATGTGTGACCCTTACTTAAGTCATTTTCTCTTTAGGCTAAATCGTCTTAATTCCAAACGTTTCCACCTTTAACGAGAATCATGGCTGCCCCCTTGAACTGGTGTCAGCTTTAGTCATCTGTGGCTGATGTGAGTTACAAGTTTAACTTTCAGAAATTGAAGTCCTACCTGACAGTTACACTATGCTCAAGCCTAATGCCCTCCTCATGTATAAGAAATATCTGCTTTCTATTATAGTAGGCAATCTCTACCCAGACTGGCCCTGCTGATAAGTGTTTTTTCCTTAATGGAAAAGCACATTTTCATAGTTTTTCCAGGAATATCTTTGTGTCTTTAATGGAACCATAATCCATTCCCTTATTTAATCTTCAATCACACAATGCTTATTTCACTCAATATAATGGCTTATGCACATTCACTAATGGCCCCTAGATAAAAACCTCTTTTTTTTTTTAATTTGAAAGTGCTTCAGAGTACACAACAAGAAGAACAAAACAGAAAAATGCCAGTTGTTTAGTTGAAGTGAAAAAAATAATGATCAGAGTACTGAAACTTGAGTGATAAATCACTGTAATAAAATAATTAAACAATTTGTCATTCTGGCAATCTGAAATAGTATTTAAAGTGTTCAGACATTTTCCTAAAAATCTACCTAAAGACCTTTCAGATCCTATAGGAAATAATTTCTTATAAAATGATATTTTAAAATATTTTCCATGAAAATCTATTCAGAAAATAGTGCCTTAAATGGTACTTCAGAATCAATCAAAATTTATTGCTCAAATTTGACTTTTATGTGTTCTGGTTGGAGTTCATGGACTCTGCACAAAGTAAGCATTATTTTGAAGATTTTCAGTTAGTTTAATATATAGTGTCATAAATAAAGGACAAGTTGTCTTCAGAGGCCTGCCTAGGAGTTTGGAGTGTGAAAAACACGGCACTTTTGCACTCGAAAACAATTTTCAGATGAAAATTCAGTAATTGTATATAAGCACAAACAGGACATTGAATTCTTAAATGTGGAACTTTCCAAAACATTGGTTGAAACAAAATCACAAAACACTAAATAGAAGGCAGTATCCTGGACTCAATCCTAAAACAGAAAACATACATTAGTGGAAAACTGTTGAAATATGAATAAAGCCTGGAGTTAATAGTAATGTACCAGTGTTGGCTTCTTAGTTTGGACAATGCACCATGGGAATGTGACATGTTACCATTAGAGGGAACTGGGTGATAAGTATATGGGAACTCTATTTTTGCAACTTTTTTTTTGTAAATGGAAAATTATTCCAAAATAAAAAGGTCATTTAAAAAATCACAAAACAATAGGTGAGAGTATTGACCTGTTCCCCTAAAGCACCCAACAGAATAGGGGAGGGTGACAAACTTCACATGCAATTAAGTGCCACTTGTCTACGTATGTGGGTGGTGTGTGGATGTGAGGTGGACATGTGGGGGGGTGCGTGGAAACAGGTAACACACTCCAATCTTTTCCTCAGTGAACAGTCCTGCTGCTCAAAGCTTCAAAGGACACAAGTGAGGGCAGAAAGATTCCTAAATATTTTATTAATAAAATAAATATCTTAATAAAATGTATGAATATGTAATAAGAAATATATTTAAACTTTAGGAATTTGTCACTATTGAATTAAAACAGATAGGTCATCACTACTGGACAACGTTCAACTTTGCTTTTTGTCTGCTTTTAATTTTTTAAAAACAGTTTTGTGTCTTTTTGTGGTATCTTCAAATATATACATACCAGTGAAAATGATTATACTTTGTTTCCAAATTCTGTAAAGCACGACTTTATACTCATCTCTGTCCCTTCACCAGAGAGATAACATTGTGACAGGCTTCTCTTTTGCTGTATAGAACAGAAGCATTAATGAGGTAGATTAAACATGTCAGCATGTAAAAATAAATTTAATAGGTCTGCTTTCAGGCAAGATGTAGTAGGTCATGGCAAGCCAACACGTGGACTGCAAAACCACAAAAAGGCAAATAAACTACAAAACACATATTTTTAATGATATCAGAAAGTAAGGAAATAGCATAAACAAAAATTCCAGAGAAAGGAGAACCACTTTCTGAAATACGCTGGCAATGGTTGGCCATCATTTAGGTTAGGGTTTGAGAACTGTTCTCGAATGAAGCAGAGAGCTCCCGCTGGGAAAAAGAGATCCCAGAAAATGTTTTAGCTTTCTTCTGGGCTAGAGTAATCAAAAGGAAACGTGATGGGTCTCAGTGATAGATGGTTACGGTGGAACATTAGAAATGTAAGTACAGAGTCTGGACTTGGGCCAAATGACATTTTGATATGGTTGAGATCTCAAGAATCAGGACACACTGATCCAACTGATACAGGTTCTATACAGAAACAAAGCCAGGTGTAGATTCAAGGCAGCTAATTACTCCCACCTCACCACCTCCTATGACCCCAGCAGCCAACCCTGTCCCCCTTCCACCTCTGTACAAGCACCAATTCCTGTGTCAAACGTTCCAGCAAATGGAAACCATCAGAGGAGTACCCCCAGGTTCAGTGGTGATGGTACTGTGTGAGTAAAGAGCGCGGGGCTCCTTCCCAGAGACAGAAGGGATCTCAGATGGAAGAGGCATAGGATGAGCTCATCTATGGATCGGCCACTGGGTGCTCAGAAGAAGTCCCATGCTCCATGAGGAAAATGTCTGCTAGTTGTCAATATGACTCCATCCCAGACGACATTAAGAACTGATTCCTGTGTGGGACCTTCAATCTTCTGGATTAAGAAGGTATGACAAATTTTTTTTTTTCTCTTTCAGTAAAGATGAATTCAGGATATTTGCCTTGAGGGAGCCAGAATCTTTAATTTATATACAGGGTTGCATTAAAGAATAACAGTAGCAGCTCCCTGCTGAAAATTATGCAGAGGTAATGGAAGAGCCGAGCTGCACGTAGACATTCAAAAGTGGAATCTTGTCTTGATGGATTCAGTCACTGTTTCTCTTTTTCTTTTTTTAATTTGTCTTTAAACTCCACTATTTTCTGCTTCATTCCAACATGCATTGTTCTAAGAAGCCATGAAGGGAATGTCAAATTTTACTTTCTTGGTGTGCTTCATTTGTCGCCATAAAAGAGCAACTCAAACCTGATCAGCAGAAGGATTTGCTCCTGGGCCCGTTAATTATAGTGAAATTGTAGAATTAATACTGAGTGTTATGACCTCAGAAAATATTCCATTCTCTTTATTTCACCCTCATCTCAATGTGTAATCGGCCATATTTTAACAGTTCTAGGTTTATTTATCGAAACAAAGCAGATGTCACATGATGTGATATCTAAACTACTTCGGCTTGGTCTATTTGTCAGTCAAGGCACGTGGCGTCTAGAATGGCTTCTGCTCTCTCAGGTCTCTCACATGTTCGGTGGTGAAGTATTTAGATTTATATCATGTTCTTGACACTACAATAAAAGAGGCCACATTTGGATGAACTGCAAAGTGCAATAAAGGGCTCAGAAAACCAAAATGATCTTCAGGAACATTGCCATTATATAGGAAGAGAGTATAGTATATATTTTTATTTTGTTGTGTTTTCGTGATTTGCATGCTGAGTTCTCATAAATGAAAAAAATGGTACGTTCTAAAAAAGCTGTTGAAGTGGCCTAGTTTTATGTGCATCGCACTGTATTGTTTAGTGAAGGGTTCAATTTGAATTTTGGTATAAGCAATTAATAGGATATTGGGGCCATTTTAGGAGTTAACTTGTGGTCAGTTCTTCCAGTTACAAGGAAGCATTTCACTTATACATTTTTATTCTTATAAAATATTCTAGTAAAGGAAAATAAAAGACCAAACATCAATGAGTGTTATTTTAGCAAATATAATTTTTAGATGTGCTATTACTTCACATATATAAAACAGATGGTATATAGGAATGTAATATATTTAAACATAAATCCACTTAGAAATATTACCTAGATTTATCAATTTTTATAGCATCTTTCTCACATGGGTCACCTAGAAAGTCTATAATAAACAGTAGATGCCATATATTACAAAATAATATTAGTTGCCGATAATGTATAATTTTTAGAGTTAGCCAATCTTTCACACGGCTTTAGATTCTTCTGTTACTTCCTTTTATAACACCCTGTTTATCTCTATCATTTTATTTGTTATATTATAATAATTGATTAATTGTGCAATTTTTGTTATAGTGCCTTTCCTATTATGTTCTGAAGCTGGAACTAGGTTTTCTTCACTATGCTTTGCTTAATATTTAGCTTTGCTTAAAACATGGATGTGCTCGATAAAGATGTGGTTAATAAATCAAGGACTGAAAGATATACAGCCTGTTGCCTGCTTTGTGTAGCCATCAAGTTAAGAATGCTTGTGTTTTTTCCTTCTATCTTTAAATGGACCTATTTTTCAAATGTTTTTTAAGTACCTAAATAGCAACCTCAGTTTTGCTTGTTGGTCCATAAATTCTAAAATATTTACTATTTGGGCCTTTAAGAAAAAAGTTTCCTGACTTTGATTTGGATCAGCTCTCTCCAGTAGAATAGTAGTGATGGAAATATTGCATATCTGTGATCTCCCGCAGGATAGCCACAGACCACATATGGCTACTGACCACATGAAATTTGTCTAGTGTGACCAAGAAACTGAAAATTTTAGTTTTATTTCATTTTAACTAATTTAAATAATGCCATGTGGCTAGTGGTTCCTGTATTAGCAGCAGATCTAGTTATATGAAAGAATAGACCTCCTGTAAATAGAATAAATACTTACTTGGAAATCAAGCATATCTTTGGAAAAAATGAAAAATATTTGAAGTTAGTTTGGTCTTTCTGGCAAAAAAACTGAGTAAAAACATAAAGTAAATTATCGCCATTCATTAAAACAACTATTATTATGACGATACGTTGAAAAGCCCAAAGGTAAAAATTAACTCATTTAATTTGACGGTTACATACAAACTCATTTAAAATAAGTGGTGGTTCTACATTCTATGAACTGTGAATGAAAATAAATTACTTTGGATAAGGCAGATAATGTTAATGTTCTATCAACAAGTAAATGAAGGACATTGTTTTTATGAAGATTTTGAAGCTTCTCCTTGCTTTTTTTGAAAGGCACATCACTTACAAAGAAATTCTTGAAATACATAGAATCCTATTAAAGCAAAATGTTCTATAGCACAGCAGGAAAACATTAGAGCACATAAACAAGTAAAAACAGTGATACAATCTAACAGAATCCTCAAACAGCATTAAAATGGGTATTAAAGTGGTCTGAGAGGTAAAGATTCAATTTGTAAAGTGAAGTTTAAACACCCACATTCACATGTGATTTCAAGTCTTTAAGTTGAGAAGCACTTATAAGGAAATCTGAAATATGTGCTATTTAGCATTAAAATTGTTTGCTATTATCATAACATTTAAAGTAAGTTTAAAAATTTCAAAATTAGAGTATATTTCCTTTGCTTGCTTATACTCTTTTGTACACGTCTATGTATGAAACAATATCTCCCTGAGTAAAACTACTTTGGCTGCCCTCTTTTATTTCAAGTGATTTTATCATTAGGGAAAAATTTGAAATCATGGTGGACAAATAATCCCTTAATGCTTTTCTTGCCTAGCAAGTAATTTGTCAAAGCAATTCAGTTTCCAAATAGCGTACAAACTCAATAAGATAGTGAGCCAATGCATCTGTTCCTGTCTGTAGAGTATGCACAAATGCCTTTCATTTGGGGGGGAATCCTAAAACTGAATTCTCTGAAAGGACAATTTAGCTCTAGTCACAAAACATCATTTATAATTTCTCTCTGATAAAACTTTAGAATTTTTTTAAAGTCCAGTTTTATTGACATACAGTTTACATGCAGCAATATCCACCCTTTATAAGTATACTGTTTACTGAATTTGACAAACATAGAAATTGTGTATTCACTACCCAAATTAACATGTGGGATATTTTCAGCACCCCAGAAAGTTCCCTTATACCTCTTTGTAGACAATCCCTTCCTTTCACCCACAGCCCATTGGCAAGAAGTGATCAATCTATTTTCTATTTCTATAGTTTTGTCTTTTCTAGAATATCATGTAAATGGAACCATACAGAATGCAGTCTATCGTGTCTGGCATATTTCACTTAGTCACTCAGTGTAATGCTTTTGAAGTTCATCCATGTTGTTGCATGCGTGTGTAATTCACTGCTTGTTGTTAAGTATCCCATTGTATGAATATATCATAATATTTTTATCCATTCTGCTGGTGATGGACATTCAGCTACATGAATGAAGCAACTATTAACATTTGCTGTGTGGACATATGTTTTCATTTCTCTTGGGTAAACACCTATGAATGGAATTGTTGGGTCATATGGGAAGTGTATGTTTAACTTTATAAAAAACTACCAAACTGTTCTCCAAAATAACTGTATCATTTGCCTTTGTGTGAACAATTTTTAGAGCTCTAGTTGTTGTACGTGGTCTCTAACAGTATTATCAACCCTTTTAATTTAATCATTTGAATGATTGTATATAGTTCTAGATACTATATACAATAGATATAGATATAGTGGTAGATATAGTGGTATCTCCTTGTGCTTTTAATTAATATTTTCTTGATGATTAATGATGTTGAGTATTTTTACATACGGACATTGCCATTTGCACATCTTCCTTGGTGAAACAGGTGTTCAAATCTTTTGCCTTTCTATCTACTAAGCTTTTTGTGTAATTATGTACTCTGCATATGAGCTCTTTATCAGGTAGGAGCTTTGCAAATTTTGCTTGTTTTACCAATCTGTGTCCTATCTTTTCATTTCCTAATAGTGTCTTTTGAAGAGCAGACATTTTAAATTTTATGAAGTCCAATTTGTAAAATTTTCACTATGGTTCCAGTTTTTCATACCTAAGAAATCTTTCCATAACAAAAGATCACAAATATTTTTTCCTATGTTTTCTTCTTGTGTTTTTTTTTTTTTACATTCAGGTCAAAGATCCATTTCAAGTAACTTCTTATATGTGATATGTGGTGAGGGTTAAGCTTTTTTGATATCCAATTGTTTGCAGTGCTTGTTGAAAAAAGTATTTAAACCCATTGAATTGCTTTGGCCCCTTTGTCAAAAGTCAACTGACTGAACAGGTGTGGGTCGATTTCTGAACTCACTAGGTCTGCGTCATTCATCTATATAAGTATCTTTAAACAAATACCACCCTGCTGTTATTACTGTAGTTTTATAGTAAGCCTTATAAACTGTTACATTTTATGTAAAGTGGATATTCATATCCTTCATAAGCCTAAGCACCTCTGAAACAGCTGTGTACTATATAGTGTAGGTAGAGGCCTGCACTGATTTGAGATGAAAGAATTGCTATTCTTGGTTGTTACTTTAGGTGTTCTGTTTTCCTGTGTTCCACAGACAGGGGGTTTACTGAACTCACGGAATCCACGAATTCAGGGCATCCATGATCTTGCCTCTTGGAGAAAATGTATTTCTTTATTTTCACTCATCACTAACTGAAATTCAGTGTTCCCACAAATGTGGACAACAAACCTCAGGGGTACTGCAGTATCTGCACCTCTTGCCAATAGAAGGTACAGATATTTTCATGTCACATTGCTGTTATGGCCGATATCTTCAAATATTGTTTGATGAGGGAGCATAAGGAAAGTTGACAGTCTGCAAACCGCCCCCTCCCCCCCCCCACCCCAGGTGGGCTATGTGTGATATTCCTCCGGCACTCCTGGCTGCCTAAGAACAAAGGAAAGGGGAAAAACAAATGGCTACCTGATAGAAATCGTAGTCCTGCAAGACCTAAGTCTCCCCTCCATAGTGATGTGGGAAACAAAGCCAGAAGGAAATGGCAGATAGAACTAAATTTCCTTATAACTTGCAGTCCACTGACATATGCTTGAGGCTGGCAGAGTAAAATATTTCTCCAGGAACTCCCTACTGTCCTTAGTGCTAATGTTTTGCTAGAGGGAAAAACAACCCTAGCTTGACAGTAGGTAGGCCTCCAATATCCTGTGTGTCTTTAGCATATGAAAATCTCACTGGAAACTCGCCCAGGACTTCACCTCCCCCAGCTGCATAGTATATAACCAGTGTCTCTTCATGGCCCTGGGGCATGCCCATAGGTCCGTCCCTGTGCTTCAATAAAATCACCTTTTTGCACCAAATACTTCTTTTTTTTTTTTTTTTTTTTTTAAATTTTTTTTTCAACGTTTATTTTATTTTTGGGACAGAGAGAGACAGAACATGAACGGGGGAGGGGCAGAGAGAGAGGGAGACACAGAATCGGAAACAGGCTCCGGGCTCCGAGCCGTCAGCCCAGAGCCCGACGCGGGGCTCGAACTCACGGACCGCGAGATCGTGACCTGGCTGAAGTCGGACGCTTAACCGACTGCGCCACCCAGGCGCCCCCCAAATACTTCTTTAAGAATTCTTTCTTGGCCTTCAGCTCGCCCCACAAACCCCACTATCACCCCAAAAACCTCATCATTGTTGACATTTATTGTTACTTAAAAATTATAGTTTTTAGAACTTCCACTTGACCTTGTTATTCTAGGAGTTAATAAACACATATTACTAAGTTATAATTTTAAAAAGTTCTTTCAGTAATGATCTCAATATAATTGGTTTCCTTTGTCATATTATGTATTTTACTACGTCTTTAAAAGAGAATGCTTGAGAAGGGGCCCAAAGACATTTCCAGATTGGCAAAGGGCTCCATGGGACAGAAATGGTGTAGATTTGCCTTCTGTATTCCTATTTCACAGACCTATTACTTGGGTTGTCTCCCATTTAAAGTGTCTTTATTGCTTCAGTTTAGAATATTGCTGTATTACCAGTCCTGCCTTATTTCATCTTATATTATATAAAAGTATAATATAACATAATATTATATACTATTTCACCTTATTAAGAAAGGTTCAATAAGCCTTTATTAAACATGTGAGATTAGACAATGCTCCAGGTCAGAATCTGGAGATTCAAAGGTATATCACATGGTTCCTCCCTTTGAGGAACTTAGGTTGTACTAGGCAGATAATGAAGCAGGCATTGCAGTTTACAATGTGTGCTCCAATGAGCACACATGGGAGTGACCTAGATGATGTTCTTACCCTTCACTTGGGTGGCGGTGGAGGTGTGGGCAGAATATCAGCAAATGTTTCCAACAGGAATTGACACACACATTATTCTCTGAGGAAACCTGGAGAATAAGAAAGCAGGAACTAGAATGTGAAGAGACTATTTCACACAGGAAATGTAAGCAAGCATCCAGCTCAACTCTGCCTGGAGCCCTGGGACAGAACAGCCAACGGAAGAATTATGCATTGCCTACCCTTTTCTCCCTTAGGATGTGTCAAGGAAGACAATCATTTTCACAATGTAGAAGCCAAAGCAGCTTCCCACTCTTGATTGGAATATTCAGCTTGTGTGTCTATTTGACAGGCAAAAGTTCTTTCTCTCAGGTCCTTTTCCCCCCAGAAGCTGTCAAGTGCTGAGCCCTTGGCCAATGGAGCCCTTTTTGCAAGGACCCCTCCCTATTTCCTGTGCCTTCTACAGTGTGTCCTCCCCAGGCTGTCTTAGTGTGCCTCCCAAGTTTTAGCCAGTTTCCTTCAGTCCTAGACAGGTAGGTGGCACTGAGACAGAATGGGCAAAGGGTAGAGACACCGGAGACTAGACTCATAGCCCAGAGGACCCCAGTCTAGAGCAGCCAGGTCCTCTCCCATCCTGGATTGAATGAGTCATTTATTACATCTTAAACAGAGATTGTTACTAAGAGACATTCCTATTTAAACTGTCCTCAAGCATTTTCTCAAGCCAGGCAGCATCAGGGGCTGCTTAGCTAATTAGGGACTAATTGACTCTTTAGCACAGTTCTCAGCTGTGACAGAGTGTTTCCTGCCTCTTTCTGCCAGGGTACTGGGACCATTCCCTGTGATGGGCTCCATTTTCACCTTATCAGGGTCTAAATGGAGCAATTTCCAGCCTCATATCCTTGATATTCTCAAGGATAGGAATGTAGACGTAAAATCTTTATAGGTATATTTTTTTAAATGTTCATTTATTTTTGAGAGAGAGCGTGAGCAGAGGAGGGGCAGGGAAAGAGGGAGGCACAGAATCCTAGGCTCTGAGCTGTAGGCACAGAGCCTGACTTGGGGCTAGAACTCACAAACTGCAAGATCATGACCTGAGCTGAAGTTGGTGCTTAATTAACTGACTGAGCCACCCAGATGTCCCCCAAATCTTTATATTTTTGAGGGCTTCTGTTTAGTCTGGGAAAATGCTGCATTTTTCTTAGTTATCATTATGGGAACCTTTGAGAAGTTTCTGCTTCCAATTACTTGAGGTGACATTACACTTTCTGAAGAAGAGGATGGTGCACTTTCTTGCTCAGTGTAGGAGAGGTTTTTGTTTTTTCCTTGTTTGGTAGGCATTTTTAATTATGACCATAAAATTTCATGACTTCACTTACCTGGCATTAGTCTTTTCTGTCAGAGGATAGGCCAGTTTTATCCCATGGAGGATCAGTGTATTCATTTCCTCCCTTTCCTCCACAGCATCTTCTGAACATGTTCACTGCTAGGCATAGGACAAACAGTAAAAATGATATATTTTCTGCCCCTCCAGATTAAGTAGAGGAATACAAACATTTTAAAAGTAAATGTCATAAAGTCATATACATCTGGTCAGAGTATAGTTGGGACATAATAAAAAAAGATAGTGATTTATATGTGGAGGCAGGATCATAAATATTGAAGGATGACTTAGGAAAAGTGTTGACTGGAAGAGAAAGGGATGTTAGCCTTCCTGGAAGAGGGATCGGTGAGAGGAGTCCAGACAGAGGCAACACTTGAGATGTTGTTGGAGTCACAAAAAGTCCGGATACCTTGAAACTGTGGTTGGATGGAGTTTGGCAGAATATTATCTTGATGAAGTAACCAGGAAAAGCATCATGGAAGATTTTGATGCCATGCTAAAGAGTTTGGATTTTCCTTTAATACAATGGGAAGGCCACAGAAGAGTTACAGGCAGGGATAGTTTAAACACCAAGAAAACCAGGAGGGCAGTTATGAGGCCCTGAACTTAGTAGCAGCGGGACTGGAGAGGAGAAGCAGTGTAGAGAAGTAGAAGAGGATGCATGAAAATGACTTAATGTCCAAATGGATTGGAAGGAGAGAGAAGTCTAGGGTGATTTTGGTTTTCAGCTGCAAGTTTCCTTCACTGAAAAGCAGTATCAGAGGAAAAGTGGGTTTGACAGGAAAGTTTTAATTTTAGACATGTTGATTTTGAGGTGGGGAACGGCAATGTCCATTAGGCAGTTGGGTAAACGTGGCCAAAAGCTCAGGAGAGAGATTCAGGAGAGAGAGCTAGCCTAGAAATTAAGATCTGAGTGAGCATCATCAGATACAAGCAGTTTTGGAAGACATAACCATGTTTCTTTGAAAGTGTGTAGATTGAAAAAGGTCCAAGGTCAGAGTCCTCAAAGGGAAAACAACAACAACAACAACAACAAAAACCCCTAATACTTAAAGAACAAATAGAGAATAGTCTTCAAAGAATGGGGGAGAGAATAAATAGTAGAAGGAGAAAACTCTAGAGAAGCTGTTGGTTTCCAGGAAGGAAGGTCTTGGAGGTCAGAAGTTCCCTCCACCTCCCTGAATCTTACAGCTCATTACTCTCTGTATTGGCTTTATCTCTTCTCTCTCAGGATCTTTTCCTCTGCTCATTCATAGTTTCTAACTCTTATAATTTTGGCCTCACGTGGTCAAACATTGCCTCCAGAATCTCTTTATACATCATGACCTATTAGCTCCTATGCCAAAATGCCAAAGTGTTTTTTATTTCACATTCCTGAGAAAAAGAGAATCTGATAGGTCTGACTCTTCTTTTTTTTTTTTTTTTTTTTAAATTTTTTTTTTCAACGTTTATTTATTTTTGGGACAGAGAGAGATAGAGCATGAACGGGGGAGGGGCAGAGAGAGAGAGACACAGAATCGGAAACAGGCTCCAGGCTCTGAGCCATCAGCCCAGAGCCCGACGCGGGGCTCGAACTCACGGAGTGCGAGATCGTGACCTGGCTGAAGTCGGACGCTTAACCGACTGCGCCACCCAGGCGCCCCTGACTCTTCTTTTTAAGCCAGGTCACATCAGGGATCTAAGCTGCCTTGACCAGGTGTGTACTCCCACTCCTATCACCTGTGGTCTTTGATATAAAATACGGCTGCCCAGTCTCACCCCTTCGGCTGAAGATATGGGGTGATGAGTAAAAAAAAAAAAATGTCAGGTTGAATGACATCTGTAGTTTAAGAAAGTTTAAATAAAGGTGGTAGTTTTCCACAATGGCAGATACCATAGCATGATCAAGAAACAATCCTTTGATGGGGTAACTTGGTGGCTTAGTCAGTTGGGCAACTGACTCTGGCTCAGGTCATGATCTCACGGTTCGTGGGTTTGAGCCCTGTGTCTGGCTCTGTGCTGACAGTTTGGTCAGAACTTAGAGCCTGCTTCAGATTCTGTGTCTCCTTCTCTCTCTGCCCCTCCCGCTTGTGCTCTGTCTCTGTCTCTCAAAGATAAATAAATGTCAAAAAAAAAAAAAAAAAAGAGTCCTTTGGATCTGATGATATGGATGCCAGCTAGGCACTGGCCAGTTGCTGGGATGGTGGAGAGGCCTCTGGCTGCTGTGAGTTGGTAATAAATGAAGGCATAATGTGGAGACATGGAGTTGTGGCTTCCCATCAACAAGGATCTTAACCTCAAACTTTGTAATATAAAGGCAAGGAAGGGGAGGGTGATGATATTGATACAAGACACAGAGTCTAGTGGTAGTTGTCCTTGTTTTCCTCTTCTCAAACATATATTTTATTGTTTTAGGTATTTGCCCTTGTTCTGGAGTAGAACAGTGGGTCTGGATTTATGGGCACAGAGAAAAGAACTACCCTTAGAAAAAGAAAGGATCTCTTTATTTTTTATTATTTTTATTTTAGAAAATAATCTCTATTTTTTTAAATTTTTTAATCTTTATTTATTTTAGAGACAGAGCACAAGCAGGGGAGAGGCAGAGAGAGGAGGAGACACAGAATCCAAAGCAGGCTCCAGGCTCTGAGCTGTCAGCATGGAGCCGGACATGGGGCTCGAACCCATGAAGATCACGAGAACTCACGAGATCATGACCTGAGCTGAAGTCAGTTGTTTACTAAATGAGCCACCCAGGCGCCCCTAGAACAGATCTCTTTAAATTTTTTTTAAATGTTTATTCATTTTTGAGAGACAGAGAGAGACAGAGAGTGGGCGGGGGAGGGGCAGAGAGAAAGAGTGGAAGACACAGCTTCCAGGCTCTGAGCTGTCAGCACAGAGCCTGATGCGAGGCTTGAGCTCACAAGCTGTGAGATCATGACCTGAGCCAAAGTCAGATACCCAACTGACTGAACCACCCAGACACCCCTAGAAAGGATGTCTTTAAATGAGACTGTGGGAAGAAGGGCAGGAGAAGCATTGTGGGTGATTTGTAGGAAATGTAAAAGGTTGGCAAAGGGCATTGAAGTCTACTCTGCAAAGTCTCTGTGTCTTCACTCCTGCTCATCTCATGTCCTCCCTATGAGGTAATTGATAATCTAATGTTCCTGCAGATACTGAGATCTCCCTAAGGGATCCCACAGAAAATCAAAGGTAGGGTAACTGTCCTAGTCCTTTTAAGACTGAGTAGGCTCTGCTGTTGAGTGCAGCTCACCAGGGAAAGCCAGGCTACTGGCAGACCTGCTTCACAGCACAACTTGTCCTGGAATGATCTGTGATGTTGTTTACTGGGGTTTCTGCCAGCTCTGCCAGCAGGCTGGGGCAGTCCACCCAGTCCACCCAGTCACCTAGCCGTGACTATGGTGACAGGGCCACTTAAAAGATATCTTAGAAATCATCAACTCTAACTCATAACATAAATAAGAGAACAGACATGGAGAGGTGAAGTGACTTGCACAGGGTCATATACCTTGTGCCAAAACCAAGAACAGAACAGGCTTTCTAATTCAAGGCCCAATGTTATTTACTTATTAAAAAAAATTTTTTTTAGTCTAATCATTCTCCTACTGTTTTTTTTTTTTTTTTTTTTTTTTTTTTAACATCCTGCCTATATCCATTATATTCTCATAACCAGGGTCTTGCCTTTGAGTTAGAATGACAAGCCAGTATCCAAATCTGTCAGATTCCGGTCTGCATTGGGTTATCCTGGCATAAGACCTCTACTGGGCAATCAGAACATAGGATCTAAAGCAAACCTTATTTATCCAACACAGCCTTTATACACTTCTTAACTAAATGAATAAACCCTTGTAGTGGCTAAAAGTTTATAGTCATGAGATTCCTCCCTGTCCCTGGAGAAAGGGAGCAGGAATATAATGAAACAGTACTGATCTTGGGGGTCAGGAAACCTGGGTCACTTTGGGGAAATCATTTACATGTCTTTGAATTCCACTGTAGAGTGGGGATGTTTTATTTACAATGATACAGGTATGCTAATATACTGTGGAAACTTAGAGGAAGGAAAAATTAAGCCTGCTAAAGTCACTTGGGGGAAGAGCGCCAAAGAAAGTGACATTTGAGATGGGTCGTGAAATGTGAGTACAGCTCACTTGACATGAGGTAATTAGCATACACAGAAAGTCACCATCAGAGGCCTCTTTTGGCCTTTGTTTGAATTGCCAAAAACTTGGAACTACATGCCTTCACCTTGTCACCTGGACAAGACCCATGTACCTCCAATCAGCTAGTCCCATCATGCCCTTACATCTATACTGCTGTGTTCTTCCTCCTTCCCACTCATTCTCCCACCATTGCTGTCGTTTTCTATTGAGGCCTTCTGGAAATCCTTCTTTAGAGAAAACCAACTACCCTATGCCATCTTTTTCACCATATACCACCTTCCCCTAAGCTTATTAACATTTATCTATTGTCAATTGATGTTATTTTCCTAGATAAATTCTCTGAATAAATTTTTCCCCACCAGTACTCTTCTCTCTCTAGATATTCTTCCTCAGTAACCACTGGAATGCTCAACTTAGACAACCATGTATGGATCTTGAGCTCTAACTTTCCTATGGGTTCTAGATTGTATATTGGCTATATGTATCCTTTGGGTGTTGCACAGACATAGCATATCCAGAATTGAATAATAATCATCTTAATTCTCAGGCAACCCTAGACTTTCTTCCCTAGTAAATGGCTGTACTACTCAGCTAGCCACCCAAACTAGAAATCTGGGGGGAGGTAAAGGCTGAGTATCCTAGACTTCATTCTCTCCCTCACCTAAAATACACAATGAGTAACCAAGTCATGATAATTTTACCTCATTGAATTACTATTATTTTCTATTCCATTTCTACTTTCTGCCTTAATTCAGGCATTATCGGTTTTCATTTAGGTTTCTGAAATGGGCTCCTAACTGCTGTCCCAGCCTTTAGTCTGATTCTACTTCAATCTATCCTTTAGTCTATAACTAGAGTGGTTTTTCTAAAATAGAAATATCATCATATCACTCTCTTCTTAAACTCCCTCAATGAATCCTTATGCCGTGAGAGGAAATGTACCTC